CTGAGCCCTTATGCAGCCACATTCTCTTTGCTCCTGACATTCTCAATTTGCAGGCTGCTGGTGATCCAATCTCGCTCATTCTGGCTCCATAATAAGGATGTCAATGCAAGAAGAGAAAAGGCCATTATCTGATAGCCAGCAGAGGTGATAAAAGGCAGAGGCAGCGACCTCAGAGGAGAGGCCACACTTTCTGCCTCAGAGGAGCTTCTCAATGTCATGGGCAGCTTTTGTACCTGCAAGTGTGCTCCAAATTCACTTTAAGCAGCAGGCATCAGACAAAGCTGAATCACCCCTAGGACACAGTCTCAGTATGAATAAGGTTTTGATTTTCTACTATTAATCAGTGAAAATATTTAATTCTGATTAGGACATAAATACACAGTGAAAAAGAAAAGAGACAATGTGAGCTGTAGAGAAACTTAGTCTGCATTCCTGGGTCCTGCCTGGTTAGTTGAATTCATATGGGTTTGGATTATGCTGAAGTATCTCCCACAAGAGCAATAATCAGTCAAGACTAGTTCAACATTTATATAGGAAGAGTTTTACTGCAAATTTAGAGATAATAATTAATATCATCTGTTTAGGGAAACTGTTAAAATGTCACTGATACAGCAACTGACAGCAAAAATTTATTTATTAATCAACTTTCTCAAATAACTACTAAGTACCTTTCCAAGAGACAAGCCTCACTGAGATAAAAGTTTGAAGCAATCCCTACACAGTTACTATTGAATATCAACTGTAGCTGAAGAGGCGGTTTAATTTTCTGTGTGGAAATCAGAAAAGCCTACAGGAGAACTGTGTGTGAGAGCAGTGTGAGAGAATTAAACAGGCTCCTGGGCCTCCTGGGTTGAAAATTCCTTTCCCCATAGTATTTGTATGTCTGCAAGACTGATTTACAGAGAGGACATTTCCCAGACTATTCCAGTCATCCACTCATTTTCCCAACTTTGCCACAAGTGAATAAGATAAATACCATATACAAAATAGCCTTCCCTGTTCTTGTCATGATGATCACTTCTTTTGGCTCCCATAAGCAGATCACAGCCTGGAATTTAAGCCTAAGTGAGGTTTCAACCCTTCTCAGGATCCAATGGAACAGCTTTGAATCCAACAGAGGCTTTTTTTTAATGAAAGATTTATCTCCTATGGGGCCTTTGCATTCAATGACTTGAGTAACGCCCCTCTCTCCCTTGCTGTGGGGATGCTCTGGACAAAGCCACCACCTGTGATCCAAACCCTTTTTCAGCTTGTTTTTGTCCTACCCCTCCCTTACTCCTTTTGAGAGCTCCTGTCTGGCAGCTACAGCAAGGAGCAGAGCATCAGCAGTGCCAGTCTTGTGCCCCAGGGCAGCAGCAAGTGCACCATCCAACCGGGCACTCTTGGCCAGACTAAATCATCTTTGAACAAGAACTGTTCATAAAGGCACAATCAACAAAATCATGGTTAATTCCACTAATTTAGTGTATCTGTGGGCCTCGCTGGGAACTGTCAGCTCCTTCCTGACATCTATCACTCAGCTCCCTTGAGGAAGAGACTGCACATTCCAGCACTGTCCAACCAGGGATTTAAATAATAAAAACATCAGGAACGTGCTTTAAATTGTTTCAGGCTTTGAGATGCTTTGTTGTGATTATTTAAAAATCAGGGGGTACTGTGCATTATCCTAAACTGACCTTCCCCCTACTCATTTCCAGTCCTGTTCACTTTGTTAATACAGTGTATTTCAAGGTAATAGGAGTGTTAGATCACCATCCCCAAACAGCCTGTACTAACCCAGGGTGTCCATGTGACACCACCTTCTGTCCATGTGCTTCAGCTCCAGCTCAGCACATCATCACCAAGGCCACCCTGTCCTCAGGCAAGAAGTGTCTGAGGATGATGGGGTGAAGAGGTGGATGATTCTGCACAAAAAATCCTTCCAGTACAACTCACCAGCCCTTCTTCAGGAGCTGTTCCTGCACATTTCAGTCTGGTAAACACAACCCCTCCGTGTCTCATCTTCTCCACCAGTCCTAACATGAATTATCATCCTTATTAATATCACAGAATCCCAGAATGTGCTGAGTTGGAAAGGACTCACAAGGATCATTGAGTTCAACATTAAACCCTGCACAGGCCCATCCCCAGGAGTCACCCCCTGTGCCCCAGAGGATCATCCAAACCCTCCTGGAGCTCTGGCAGCCTTGGGGCTGTGCCCACTGCCCTGGGGAGCCTGGGCAGTGCCCAACCAGCCTCTGGGGGAAGAACCTTTGGCTGAGATCCAACCTGAGCCTGCCCTGACACAGCTCCAGACCATGACAGATTGTAAACCAGGGGAAGATTTTTGGTTATCTTAGTAGGATCCAGCCTTAAAATTATCTCTGGTATTTAAAGGGTACAAAGAAAATCCATCACAGATACCACGACAGCCTCTGCTGTGCCTTTGGGGGAAAAAAAAAGAAACAAAACAACACACCACCAATCCCAAACTCAACTATTTCATAATGGAGAGATTTTCCTTTCTTTCTCTTCTGGGACATAGGAGGTAAAAGCCACTGAGGAAGAATGTCTGTATCTTGGGTGAACTGAGCTCCCAGGACACATCTACATACCAAGATATTTCACTCTGCCAGGATGTGACCAACTGACACTTCCACATCACTTGGGGCTGAGTTAGAAAGGGATCACAAGTCTCCCTTTAAAGACAGGTTAATGGGAACAAGAAAGTACAATATACAAAAAAAAAAGTCAAGTTGTGCTACACCTCTTTCAGTTAAGTGGAGTCATTTACAACTGCTCTGTTGAGATGCAGCAGCACTGAATAAAATAATATAATGTGCCATTTAAGGGATTCTGCAGACTGATAATTTATTGTCTGACACTGAGTGGATAGTTTGTGGGCAATTTTCCACTAGTCTTCACTCTAAATTAAGTGTTCTCTCAGCCATGTTCCATTTGTGCCCATGTCCAGGTAGTTACACAGCTCCCATCACTGGATAAAAGCAATAGTTTGTGCATCCCATATAATTAATATTTAGAGGATTAGATATAAAGTATTTATGCATGTATTGTTTACAATTTGCAGTCATGGTGGTGAGAAGCAAGAGATAAAATAGACAAGATTTTTGGACAGTTGAGGAAGCCCTGAGAATGTGGTAGATAAATGGTGTGTCTTGAAATAAAGCACAGCACCTCGAGCACTAGTGCAGAGCACACGACAGAGGACTTCCTATCTGAAGTCACTGTGCATTACAGAGCTTGCTATAAAGCAAAATAGGTCCAAATATCAGTGCTCACACTGGGTGGCACCACAGGAATGTCCCAAAGGGTCAATGTGTTAAGATACCAGCTTGCTTCCATACACAACTGAAAAAAACCCATCTAGTCTACTCTTCTGTTCCTTAGACAGCCCCTTTTCCTATTTAGAGGATCATTTAGTATCTCTCCCAAGCTTTAAAAGATCTGAGAGCACTCACTTCAGCCTCTATGTTTTTCTCACTGAAGCCTCTTTTCATTCCCACTGACAGAAGTTTATGACCATCTCCATTTCAGCACTATTTGACTTCAAATTGAAATGATAGTGCACGGGGCCACCTCCCACCCCAGGCTCATTTCTCAGCAGGCTGGCAACAAAGTCCATCTTTATTTCACCTTTGCAAGTCAGCCAAAGTTCCCAATAAATTACCTGCCAGTACTTTCAGTTCAGGTGTCAGTCCCCCACCACTGGGATTTAAATTGTCACTGCTGTGATATTTGCATATTTCAAAGACAGAATTTGCAAAAATATGAATAAATAAGGGTTTTGATAGCCAGCAAGATTGCACACTTGTTGGACATATTACCAAGAGAGAGAGCTAAAAAATGTACAAAGGAGTGGCATGGTCAGAATTTTGTAAAGTTTGAGGAAGTTAAGTTCTAGCTCAAGGGCTAGCTCAAGATCAGCAGAATCTCCCCCTCAAACATATCCCCTACCCCTAATCTCTTTGCACTAACACTATTAAGGAGCTCAGCTGTCCATAACCTCTTGATTTAATGCTACAGCATCAGTTAAATTTTCAAAGAACTCGGTTTTCTCTTTTGGTATAAAATACTTGGTAAAAACTCAGCACATTTCTTGGCTGTGTCTTAATTGCTTATAAAGTTCCTCAGCCAATGGTCAAGTGCTTCTAGAAAATTTTGTTGCCCTTGGTTTCTGTAGGAAACAAATTCTTTATCTGTTCAAATGACAAAAAGCCTGACACAAAAGTATATCCAGGCCATATTCAACACCCAGTCTTGGTACACAGGCACCTCCAGGAATTTATCAATAAGTCTGATTGTCCGATCCTGAGCAGGAAATGGGAGATTTCCTTTTAATTTGGGGGGGGGTGTGGGGGGATATTTTATCTGCTTAGATCCTGAATCCTTTTTCACATAATTTCTACCATTTACCTCCCCTCCCTTAGCATTGCAATCCCCCATAAATACATCTGTAGGCAATTAATTCACACATATCACTGGTTGATTCTCTAAGGAAAACTTCCAGTTTAACTTCTGATACTCTCTCTGTAGCTTATCTCAAAAGGGTATTTGACTTGGGAATAAATTACTGGAGCTATTCTCTCTTAAGCAGATTTATTATTGAATTTAAATAATAAAATTATATATATATTGGAGTTTTTCCCACCTTTAACAACGTGGAATTCCTCTGTTCTGCTTGGAGCTCAAATTTTGGGATTTGCACATTCCTCCATGTGCACTTAGGTTCTTTCAGCATCGTTCAATTCATGGTACAAAGAATTTTGCCAGGGAGAAGCCATAAAAATTATGGACCATACTCCACTGGCTCCAGCAGGATATTCTCTAATAACAGGGACACTCCTGCAGTCAGCTACTGACAGTCCAGAAATCAGTTTAATAAAGGGGTTTTCCCTGAGAACACGAATTGATCCAGTGGGTCTGTCTCAGGCTCTGTAGGGCTTTGGCCCCGCGTGTGATTCCCTCTCCCCCCGACTGACCCCTCCTGTCTCTCTGTGCAGCGCTTCCCTCCAACAGGAGCGGCTCGAGCGGCGAATTCCCCGGCTATGGAGAGAGCGGCAGCGACTCCAGCCTGCTGGTTTCCCCGCTGCTGGTGGCGGGGGTGGTGATCGGGCTGGTGCTGTCCCTGTCCTGTGCCACCATCGTGGTGGGCGGCCTGCGCAGGGACGGGCGGCTGCGGCACCCCCGGCCCGGCCCGGGGGCTGGGGACGGTGAGTGACAAACAGGGACCGACCGCGGGGACAGCCCGCTGCTGGGGGCAAAAACCTGCGGGGAGCAGTGAAGATAAGACGGTCCCAGGGGAGTTTGGATCGACAGGGAGCTGAACAGGAGCCAGAGTGTGCCCAGGGGGCCAAGAGGGCCAATGGATCCTGGCCTGGCTCAGGAACAGGGTGGCCAACAGGGCCAGGGCAGTGATTCCTGCCCTGGACTCAGCGCTGGTGAGGCCACCCCTGGAGTGCTGTGTCCAGCTCTGGGCCCTCAGCTCAGGAAGGACATGGAGGGGCTGGAGCAGGTCCAGAGGAGAGCAACGAGGCTGGGGAAGGGACTGGAGCACAAGTGCTGTGAGGAGAGGCTGAGGGAGCTGGGGGGGCTCAGCCTGGAGAAGAGGAGGCTCAGGGGAGACCTCCTCACTCTCTGCAACTCCCTGACAGGAGGGGGGAGCCGGGGGGGGGTCGGGCTCTGCTCCCAGGCAACCATCAGCAAGACAAGAGGGCTGGGTCTTCAGCTGTGCCAGGGGAGGGGTAGGTTGGAGATTAGAAAGAATTTCTTTCCAGAGAGGGTGCTCAGCCATTGGAATGGGCTGCCCAGGGAAGTGGTGGATTCTCCATCCCTGGAGGTGTTTAAGGACGGACTGGATGTGGCATCAGTGCCACGGGCTGGGAACCACGGCAGGGTTGGATCAAGGGTTGGACTTGATGATCTCAGAGGTCCCTTCCAACCCGGCTGATTCTATGATTCTATGATTCTGTGATTCTATGAAAACTGGAATGGTTTATTGGATTCACAACCTCATATTTAAAGGGTTCAGGGTTTACATATTCAACAGGGGGTTCTACATATTCGTGGTATTAAAATTGGGGGGTTTCACAAAGATGAGATAAGGGAAAAACCCGGGTTAACACATCCTTGGGGTCTTAGGAATTACCTCATGGGAAAAACCCACTTTAACTTGGGAGATTTTATAGGGGGGACAGGTAACACAAAAGGAGAGAGAAAACACAATGGGTCTTCTGCATAGGTTGATCAACTCAGGGTAAGGTCTCTCTGGCTTGGGCAGGGCATGTGATAACATCATGCAAGGAGTCTCTTCCATTGTGCAGGAGGAGGCAGGAAGAATCCACAGTGATGAAGTTACTAAAAAGGGTTTTTCCCCAGCTTTCATAGCTCATGGCATTTTGCAGAGACTGCTCAAATTCTTCTCTGCAGAATTAATATTTTTTGAATCCAACAAAAATCCACTGTGCAAGGTATAAAAAATAAAATTAAAACCCATAAAAAATAGGGTATGGAGGTCACAGGCAGCCTTGCAGTTTAATGGTGCTGGGACTGTGTTCCCACAGTTCATGGTTAACATAACCCAGGCCAGTGCCCACAGCAGGTCCTAAACAGATCATTTCCCCTTGATATGGTATCAGATTTCTTTGTTGCATTTTCACATGCCTTCATAGCCGGGGCGTAGCGTGTGATGTCATTTCTATGTTGGAAAGCCAGAACTGTTTTCAGTTTGTGCACCAATCTACATCAATGACTGGGAAAATGTTGTTTTTCTGACCACAAAAATTAATAACTGGATATAAACAGAAAAACAGGGCACCAAAATGGCATTGCAAGCATCATAGTTGATGACATAAATGTCATTACCAGAGTCATCCTCATACAATGGTCGTCATCATCATTACAGAGTCAAAAAGGTCCCAGATCCTACTCCCTACACCCAAGAAACCCCAAAACAAACAAACAAAAAAACCACCTACCCAAATAAAGAAAAAAAGCCCCCGAAACAACAAGAAAAATCTTTAAGAAGTTTTGGGATTATCAAGGAGTTAATTGTAGAGTTATATTTTTGACTCCTTCTGGGTTTGCTGACCAGAAGCTAAAAGCCATTTTATGACAGAATCAGATTATTTCTCTTTAGGGGAAAAAAAAAACAGTTACAAAGTTACTTTGTAAGTCCACCTTTTAGAAATTCATATTATAAATGGTGGAACATCAACAATTACATCCTCTGTGGCCAGGCTCCTCTACCTGCTGTTTGTTGTGAGTGCAGTTTTTTGCATATTGCTGTGGTGTTTATATAGAAAAGACAATAATAGAGAGCAAGATAAAAACACATTAGCTTAAATCTTATTTTCTGAGGTACATCAATTGGACTTCATTTAATTGTCTGGATCAGGAATTTTTGTGTCTAATGGACACATTTCCTACGATCAGTTTGTCCACTTGGAGCTAGGAATAGCTATTTTTGGCTTTTCCAGAAACATTTATCCAGGTAAGGGATTAACCTCTCTATTTGGGAATGAAATTTAGAATCCAAAAGAAGTGAAATGCAAACTCCCATAGACAATTACAGAGGGAAAAATGAAACAACAAAATCCAGAAAACTAATGCCTACTATTCTGGTAACATCCATTGTTCCTTATTTTCAGCAGGAATAAATGGTTAAATTGGGGTTACTCTTTCACCCATGAACAGCAATATTTTGGCATGATAAAATAATGACCACTAAGATTAAATCACTACATTTAAATCTACTGCTCCAGTATTTTCAGTTCCAATAAACCCTGAAAGCAGGCAAAAATATACAGGGCAATTTTCAAACTGCTTGTTAGCAATAACAGTGCTAGAGGAATGGAAAAAGGAAAGCATCTTTTCAGAGATATCCAAAAGAATAGTCTTAAACTAAATTGTGCCACACTACCCAAGTGTGGAGCTGCTCCATAAATCCTAAGAAGTCAGTGCTCTTTTCTGTGTTAGACTTGTTTCTGTGTTGTTAGTTGGAGCTGTGAAGCTCTTGTGTGGAAGCCTCAAGAAAGCCCTGGAGCAGCAGCAAGATGATTTTTCTCTACTATTTTCCAGCTTTTCCCATTTTTGTCCATGTTTTTTATTGAGAACAGCATTTTCTCAAGACACATAGCTGCAATCAAAAGCCTACCCCTGCTTGGAAAACCCTCATGGAATGGTCAGGATTTCCATGTGTGCAACCCCCGGAAACTTCAGCAACCCCTTCATCAAACACTAGTTTGCATTTCACTTCTTTTGGACTTTAAATTTTATTCCTGAAGCAGAGATGTCATTCCCTTACCCAGATAAACGTTTATACAAAAGTGACAAGCTCATGGCAGTGTTATAAACAGTGACAGGGAATCCACCAGGGAAGGAAAGAGCAGCAAATATGAATTGCTTGTTTTGCAGCTCCAGATGGCTTCTCCCATGGTGGCTCTTCTGGAGAGCTGAGATCCTCCTGCACCGAGGAGTTTCCCCAGGCTTGTGACTTTGGTTCCTACCTGGACATACTTTCTCAGGTCAACATGATGTACCCTGACCCACCTCCACGGTAAGCACTCTCCTGATATTCTGAGTGTTATAACCTTGCACTTGCAAAGCCTTTTAAAGAAAATAAAACTGCTAGACCTACGCCCAGTACAAAAATTCAGGTCACACAAAATCCAAATGCAGAGAGACTTCAGGATTTTTTTACTATAAGTTCAACTTTTCCTTAGCAGAATACATCTTTACTAAAGACATGTACAGTTCTCATTTAGTGATATCCACATTAAAATTTAACATATTGATGACATAGTAATGAAACACTCAAGTAGAATTACTTGCGAACACCTTTCTTTGAAAGAAATGAATTTACAAGTGAAAGTTTTGCCAGGGGAAAAATACATACTTTTTCCAAGAACTTTCATGTCATATTTATTACTGACCTTGAGAGTGTTCAGATCAGAGGAAACAGAAAAAAACAACAGCAAGTTTTTGTAGTGCTGTGTCTTACAAACAATGGTTGAACAGCCCCCTTCTTTCTTTTTTAATCTCTTTTTAAGCAGACTGTTTGTAGTTAATACATTGTAAAATCAGCCCTTTTTTAACCGCTTTTATATGTGATACAGAGCAAGTCAGCAGTATGAACCCACAATATATAGGTCTCTGCTTTTTTATTCTATGCATGGTCTACAAGCAACCCTTTATGTATTACTGAGTCATATTATAATAAATGGGCTTTTAGATATGGTGTAAATATTTTAGCAGAAAGCTCACATGTGAAAAATTATTCTGAGCCTAGCATCTATATTTGTGGAAATTCATATAAATCCACTTTAAAATGCAGACTGGTTTTTGGACCCACACCCACAAGTCTTTACTAATAAAAGGCAGCCAGCTGACACCAAGCAACAGTTTGAGTGGGCACCAGGCCAGATTTCTGGGAACAAACTGAGACTCTGAGAACAGATTTC